TGATGTCGCCACACAGGCCATGTCGGGACCATCAAGGCCATCCAGTGTTCGAGAGCTCACTCGAGTCCAAACTCCAACACAAAGCCCTTCAATTATCGGGCAGACTTCGTGACCGCTACAGATCGCGACTTCGCTACCGTGAGGCCAACGCAACTACGACGCCGGATCTGTCCGAAACCACTCGAGTGAGAACCCGAGACAAGTCACATGAAGAGCCACTCACTCAGTGTGATTATTCAAGGGCCCACTCACTTGGCATGATTCCTCACTCGCCATGATACCTCACTTGCCGTGATACCTCACTTGCCATGATACCTATGCAGAACATTCATCTGGGCGGTCGGGTCTGCATATCTGAGCCCAGTGAGCCACAGGTAGATGGATGATGCCACAAACGAAGCAGATGGAAGCATGAACCGATCCTGCGTGCATGATTCCCCGTCCAAAGAGTAGGCGCGTGAATACATATTCCCACTCTGATATTTCTTCAAATGCGGGCTCGGTGTTTGCACCAAATCCCTCAAGAACGATTCGTGAAATGCTGGACTCTCAGAGGTACAGGAGGAAATCATAAAGGATAAGATCGTGGGAGAGAGAAACGAGAAAGAACACGCTTAAATTCGTCTAAAATGGTATCATATACAAACGCATCACGAGAAGCCACGCGCTCAAACGACACCTATAGGTTTTGGTTTCCAGGTGCCCTTGTACGTCGACCACCCCGTGCTGCCGCTTGGCTCGCCATCGGCCAAGCTCTGCTCCACGTCCATGGCAGTCTCACATGACGGCTCTTCCTCGCCCCCCGGCGCACCCTCGAGAACCTCGCTCGACATCTTCAGCGCCCCCAGCATCAGCTTGTTCGACCCCGGCTCGTCCATGATCCCCTCGAGCACCTCGAGCACCTTGTCCTGCCCAAACCGCCTCACAATGGCCGTCCTTGCCGCGACGTCGCCACCGCCGGCCCCCAGATACGCGACCACGGCACCGGCGCAGTCTTCCGCCGCCGCCGCCGCCGCCTCTTCCTCCGTCGCGTCCGCCGAGGGCGCCCCGTCTCCGAGCGCCCGCCAGTAATACTCCCAGATCCAGCCGAGTGCCCGCCGCGCAGCGCCCCGCAGCTTGGCCAGCGATGGCAGCTGCTCGTGCGTCGCCTGGTGGCGGAGCTCGACAAAGGTCGCCGGCAGACCGATCGTCTTGGCGACGCTGTACATGCTCAGCTTGCGCTGCTTGTCCTGGTGCCCGTCCAGCAGGCCCGTGACGAATCTGGCACACGGCGTGAGTAAGAATTGTCACACCTCCTCCCACCGGAGGCAGAGAAGTCATGTGGACCAAGGGGAAGAGAGAAAGAGAAGAACAGGCGGGATACGCACCGGCTGAAGGCTGCTGCGTAGGCGGCCCTCGCGGCATAGGTGCCGGCGCTGCTGCCGCCCCCCTCGGCGTCGCTGAGGATGGCGGCGACGAGGAGGGCCGTCGACTCGACGAGGTGCGGGCAGCCGCCGCGCTGCATCCAGAGGGAGACGCGCGCGACGGCGTCGTGCTGGCGGGCGTGGCCTGGCTTGAGCTGGGCCTGGGCTGCCGCGTCGGGGTAGAACTGACGGCGGACGGCGAGGAGTTCGGCTCGATCGCGCCAGGGCGTGAGGATGTACTGGACCATGCTTGGGTTTGCTTCCGCGGGCCTGGTGTGTCTGGTTCTGAGGATTTGGGGTGTCTGACGGGACAGGCGTGATGGTGGATTATTGAGATGGGATTACCGGTCAGATTTGGAGGTGCTCATAGCAAGCAAGTGATTCAAGCAAGCTGCCTGTATTTTGTCAAAGATTGTCCTGTTCTACCGCTGCTTCTTCAATTCTTGTACAGCTGCCCAGACCTGATATCAGATACAGATGCGAATGTCAAAGACAGATGACAGTGTCTGACACAGTGTACACATATCATATGTACAGTGCAAGACAGAGCCCTCGAGGCGACGTAATGAGAAGGAGGGCATGAGGGCAGATAGCTGCGGCGGGGGTCATGGCTGAGTCAGCCAATACCCCCCCCCTTGGCTCAGGTGCGTGCCTCCTCCCTCCTCCTCCCTCCTCCTCCCTCCTCCTCTCCTCCTGGCTTACTGTGTACAAATTGCAGCAAATTTTCGCCCAAGCTCATGATGAGAAATTCACCCCCTCCCCCCCACACCCCCCCTTATCTGGGAAGGACCCCCTCTCAATCCAGGAGGAGTCAGACACCCCACCCCCCCCTGTCCTACGCTCCCTCCACCCTACCTTAAGGTAGACAGAGGAACTGAGAGGGAGGGGTAAAAAAGAAAGAGAAGAAAGAATGCGAGCAGGAGCAAGGATGGGACTGATCCAAACCAACTTCGACAGGGCTTGCCGTCG